GCCTAGAAAAAAAAGTACTATTTGTTTATCTGAAATTCAAATTTAAGCGCATGTCTCTTCTCAATACTCCCTCTCCGACTTCGCGTGGTGCTTGCTTTTGGGATCAGGGGAAAGGATGTGGGGGTGCAGGCTACTGAACTGGAGAACCCCGGGCCAGGCCCGGGAGCCTAAGGACAGTGGGAAGATGAAAGGGGGGCAACGCAGTCGCGCGAACTTGTTCCGGTGCCTGGCGAAGAGTGCCCTCTGGTGGCCACACGGCGCCCTGCACCCGCAGCCAGCACAGCCCAAGCAGTGGGGGACAGGGCCTCTGCGACAGGCACCTGTTCTTGGTTCTTACCTCTACTGAGAGCAGAGGTCTGCTCCGGCACTGTAGAGAAAGAAGCAAGGAGGACGGGCCAGGTTAAGAGCCACTGGGACAGATTTTTCAAACCAGTCGACTGGGCTGGAAGCTCTGATCCGCTCCCCGCCAAGGGTCAGCTACTCTGTCTCCCCCAGGTGGCTGATCTGCAAAAGGCAGATCCTCGAGCCCCTGAATTTTCAAGGCCGGAAGGAACAAACCGCTGATACCTGCCCTTCCTCAACCCACCTCCCCGCCGCCCACCACCCTCCTTGGCCCCTCTGCTCACTCCCAAAGTGTGGAAAGTCAAATTAAAACTGAGGGCAAGCCGTTGCAGTGGCGCGCGCCTGTAGTCCCAGCCACACCGGAGGGAGTGGGAAGAGGGGGGGAATCGCTTGACCCCAGGACTTCCAGACTGCTGAGCGCTGTGATCAGGCCTGTGAACAACCACTACCCTCCAGCCTGGGCAAAACAGCAGGATCCTGTTTCTAAACAGGTGAAAAAATGAATGAATATAATTAAGAAAGAAAAAACGTTCAGGCACAGTGTCTCACGCCTGTAATCCCAGCACTTTGGGAGGCCAAGGTGGCTGAATCACAAGGTCAGGAATTTGAGACCAGCCTGGCCAACATAGGAAAACCCTGTCTGTACTAAAAATACAAAAATTAGCCAGGTGTGGTGGCATGCACCTGTAGTCCCAGCTATCTGGGAGGCTGAGTCAAGAGAATCATTTGAACCCGGGAGGTAGAGGTTGCAGTGAGCCAAGACGGTGACCATTGCACTCCAGCCTGGGCAACAGAGCAAGACTCCGTCTCAAAAAAAAA